CACACACACACACACACACACACAGAAAACCAGACAAGCACACACAACTACCCTTAAGTACAAAACACCAGGGGATATTACCTCATAGCTATGAGGTAATATCTCCACCTTGCTGGCTCAGAATCACAGTTGTTCATAATGTGGTTATTACAGTTGGTATGTTGCCAACTGCTGTTGCATCAAGATACCATTTGTAATATTCTATTAGAAGTAAGAATCCTGATCCACCAGCCATGTGCTGCCAGCAACACAAGTAGCTTTTCTCTCAATGCACACAGTGATTAATTCTGTTGTGCTATAGTTTTGTACATATGTTTTGAGTCCAGCACAATGCCTGCAAGAGGCAGGAGATTTAAGTAAAAAGTAGAGTCATGTTCATTTCCTTCCTCCTCATCCTTGGCAGAGGACGTCGGTCTCAAACTGCAGCAGCTGTCCCATGAAGGCCAGGTTGGGGGAGATGACGTGACGTCGCTGCTTCACAAAGTCGAAGGCCTCATCCAGCCGTACGCGCTGCGTGTGCATGAGGTAGGCCAGACAGATGGTGGCAGAGCGGGAGATGCCTGCCTGGCAATGCACCAAAACTCGACCACCACTCTGCTTCACGGAGTCTGTAGGCGGGACAGAAAGAGGAAGAGAGATCAGCATATTGTGCTCCATTTCACAATGGTTTCACTGACATCAGTGAGAATGTTTTACAAGCTGAAATACATAAAAGCTTTAAAACCACTAGACTGAAGGGGCGGTCTATGAAACATGTCATCACTGTGCTAATGGAAATTTAGTTCATCTAATTCCATTGTCTCCTGAACTGAACCTTAAAGTAAAAGGGTCAAAACAAGCAAAAGAATAAACTTAAAAATGTTTTTTTAAATGTGAATACACCTCTCCTCTGCAGCTTGCGCACCATAATCCAGTTTTGTAATCAGATGATTACACTGTTGGTCCTTAAGTCTCGGCTACAAAATGGATAATGCTGCACTAACTGCTTAGAGGAATGTTTTGAATATGTTGAATTTCTTCCAGAGTTTAATAAAAATTCAATTGTTTAGTGGGTCTGCTAACTTTTATGAAGCTTGGACTGATGAACTGCTGATCTTTTCACTCACCAATGAAGGCGATGGCTGTGGTGAAGCAGGCTCTGATGTCAGCAGCCAGATTGTCCTCCACGGTGAGTCGCAGGTACTCAAACTCCCCCTCGTAGAAGTTGGGGCAGGTGGAGGAGACGTTGAGCACGGCTGTGATGCCCGCTGCTGCCAGGGTCTCTCTGCGGGACGAGTGGATGGCACTGCCCAAGAACAGGAAAGGCAGCAGCTCCACTGGACCACCCTGCAATTAAAAACAAGAATAAACTGTTTGATCTCATTTCATTCATTTCCACTTCTTTTGTGTGACATCATGTATTAACTGTTATTAAAGTGGGTTTTGTCTCACCTGATCGTACGCTGGTGTCCTCCGGCCTGTCACTATTGGCTCTGGCTCCACTGAGGTAAATTGGCTGCTGGCAGAGATGTAACACAGCTCCGGAGAGGCCTCAGAAAATCCCTCAAATCCACCTAAATGGAGGTCACATAGTGTTAGCTAAGCCGGGCTCTCACCTAAGTCCCCTTTGAAAATATGTTAAACATAAACAATAATAACTATGAGGACAATAAAACAAAATCAATAATTATTACAATTTAGTCTAATATATTGGAATATAATGCTTAGGGAGTGAGGAGGTGTAACACGTCTAATTCAGATTTGCTGTTTATCAAGTGTTTGTTGCTCATAACCAGAGTTTAAAACCACAATCTTCACTCAGGAGTAACATAAGCCTTCAAACTAAAATATATTTATACAAATATGACACTTATTGTGATAATTATCAATGTGGACTGATGAATATGTTGATTTTGTCCATTTAGCCCAGCTTTATGGCTGATGATGAGTTTGTATATATAAATTAACTTTCCATGTTTACCCCAACAGTTTGTTTTATCTTTGAGGTTTGAAATGTTTCACTCTTGCAAACAAGTAACACCCTTAAACTCTTAATAAGTGCACTGATCCTGCTATAAACACATTGGTGGCTCATGTTTATTTAGTTATTTAGGCTTGCCAGGTCAAATAAACTTGATAAACTCAAGTACAGCAGTAAAGTCTACGTGTTTTTAAAGTATTTTCACCTTGTAGGAAGCAGATCTGCGTGTCGACCTCGTTTTGCAGGGCGGTGAGCAGCATCTGGGCCACGCTCTCCGGCCGCAGCTCGGCCACGGAGCGGCTGCTCTGGTCCACCACCACCAAGGGGGAGAAGTCCCCGCGCCGCAGCCGACCCAGGAGCGCCTTGTCCGGGATGAGCCACTCCAGAGCCACCACCGAGCTCTTGGACCGGCGCCGCAGCATCGAGTTCCAGTTGACGTTCCGGGCCTCGCGGATGTGCTCCAGGGAGAAGTCGAGGAAAGGTCGGCAGTCCAGCACCACGCAGCCGGCTGAGGCGCACTGGTCCCGGGGAGTCCGGAGGATGTGGACCAGCTCAGTGCCTGTGATCTCCAAAGGCTCAGCAGTCATGGCGAAGAAAGTGGATTTAGAAGTAATGTAAAAGAAATAAACTTTGTTCTACTACAAATATGAGCGAATACAACTAAAGAAACTTCGGTGCTGGTGTATTCACAATCTGATGAATGACTTGAGTAAATGTCTTAAAACAAAGTATGTGTGTAGAACCTGTGCAGGGTTCGAATCCTTTCACGTTTTCACTTGTTCATTGATAACAGCTGACGGAGAGGCGGGGTCACCGAGGCCCCTCCTTGGTTTTTTTCCCCAGAAGTAGCGACGTCACAGGCGGAACGACCATATATGGTCTGCCCGACACTCCTCATATGGACACTGACACGGAACCTGAGTTTCCACGCGCGCACGTGGTTATTCGGGGTTATCCCGTGTTTTTGTGCTGAATGACGTTCTGCCCGCAGCCTCCAGAGGAAAAGAGGAGCTGTGTTATTTGGGTTGAGATTAAAACCCAAATAACAATGAGCTGCTCCCACAACACAAACTGCTGCTGCTTTTCTTCTGAAGCAACACTTTCACAAAATAAATAGAGGAAAGCACAAAAGGGAAAAGAAAAACGTATGCAAGTGGAAATGTGTATGTATAAATGAATAAACAGAACAAAAATGCTACACCCATCCTGCTGAGCCACACACATATATACACACCAGAACAGATGACACTTATTTTTACCCTCTTTTAGATTTTTTTTATTTGTTTTCTGTTTATTTTATTATCATCATTATCATTACTATCATGATTTATTTGTTTCTCTTTCTCCACATGCACACTGTGTCCTTCTACCTTTCTAAAGATACAGTTCAGACCTGTGTCAGACACACACACATTTAATTTTGTCCAAGTATAAAGTGAAAAGTGACTTAACTTGATTAAAAACAGTCCCATAATTTAAAGCAACACATTTTCCATAAACTTTGAGTAGACTGAGGATAAGGCTGGAGATATTCTTTATTCTTTCGCTGCCTTATTTCAGTCTGCATCTGTAAAATCTAACTGTGATGGCAGTTGTGGGTGTGGGTGACCAACTTTCAACTGTCAACTGTCATGTCAAGTTTTTGAGTCATAGCTGCTATATTGCTATTTTTGCTATATTGAGTTGTGAACATTTAAAGTTTTACTCTTAATCATTTAATTTTAATAAACCTATTACACTCAAAGAGCAAGTATTTCTGCTCTTTCATCTGATTCGTTTGCTGAGAAAGTTTTGCCTCAGTCCCACATAAGTAATATTTAAGTCACACCACCATAATTCACCGAGTTGTAAAGGATGTTGTAGGCGTCTTTCCACTCACTGCCTTCTCACCAGCAAAGAGAAATATATTTTATGTGCCGTGTGGGATAATTTGTAGCACGAAGTGTAATTTGACGTCTTGCACTTCATTTCCTTAACCCACATTTTCAAATCACTCTGCTTTCCCTCAGACGTCTCCCACTCAAACCTCTGACTCCACTTTCTTCATCTTCCCACTTCCTTTCGCCCCCTCCCTCACCACTGCCCGCCGGCCCGTCAGCAGCAATCCCACTGTGTCCCTCTCTCTCTCTCTCTCCCTGCTGAGGCTGCAGTCTCTGCACGAGCACACACACACAGACATACATTTGGGTAACACAGTTCATCACTGCTGTCAGTATGAGCTGCTGAGCCTTCATTTACTGTGGCCTCAACCTGCACTTTGAGCCTGAACACACACATTTAAACCCACAGTGAAGCGATGTTGGGTTGGTGCATTGTGACGTGAGAGTGTCTCAAGAAGGTTCACCCACATATCAGCAGTCTGACAGGAAACAACCCCGCACATGCTTCCTGTCATCACCCCTACAGGTCTCAGCCACAGCCCAACCCTTTGTGTTGCACCATTACAACCTGGCTGCCTCTGATTCATAAGAGTTTGGAAGAAATTTCTCTGAAAACGTGATTCACTATTTATTTACCAACTCCCTGGTTGCGGTGACTCAAAAATTATAAAACACCTGCTTTCATTTTCATTTGGTGAAAATTTACATTCCCCAGGTTCGTAAGTCAGGCTACTGTCATGTACTAAAGAATCAGCCACATGAGGCCTGACACGATACCCAGAGAGGGGCTGAAAGTGTTATTGTTGATGACGACTACGTCTATCTCAGGAAATTACATTTTTACATCAGGGCGAGGTGATCGTAGTGAATACCTCATGGGAGGAATTTGCAGAAAGATGCTGAGCATTGAGCAAACAGACTTGTGGAGCGGATGCCTGGGAGGTGGCAGAGATCATGACACAACTTGTGGAAATAGATGGTGACTATTTTTGAATCAGAAGTAGTTCATGTCATCAAAGCGTACAGAGACAGACAGACAGACAGACGGCAAGAAATAATGAAGTAACAAAGTCTGGTGGGGGTGATGTAAGAAAACAGTGACATGTCACTGACGAGCGATTTAAAAAAATAATCAGTCTGTGAATGAATGTATGAGTAAGTAAACATTAAAAGAAAACTCTGATAAAAACATCTGCTGCCAGCTTTTACCCAATCCACTGCAACTGCCCTCCCTCTCCCACCGGGGGATTATCCAGGATTAATTGGATGGCTGGGCCTATTAATCTCTGAAAAACACATAATCCGGGAGATTTTCCTCATCCCTGATTCCTATCATAAACGCCCACGTGACAACGGCATCTCCCCATTCAGAGCGGACATGTCCCTGCTGGGGTCAGGTCACTGCAGGCAAGCTGGTGGTGGAAAGCTGAGTGTGTGTTTTTTTACTCTGCGTGTGTTGTGTGTTTTAAACTACACCCCAAACTTTTTGTTTGATGAGTCTATGATTCAACATGTCGCACACTGTTGATCCATGAATCTTTATATGGTTAAAGATGAACAACCTACTTTTTGAATTAATTCTTGCCTTGTAATTCCTCATTCTTAAACTCAGAGAACAATTATGACACAACAAATGATGTCTTAAACACTGACTTTGTGTGTTTCAGTCATACATTTCCATGTTACTCATCACATAAGGATAATGTAAAGGGTCACATTTAAAGTGTTTTCTCTCATGTGGAGTTAGTGTGAATAAATCCATTAACTATGTACAAAGTTATACATAAATGTGTGTTTAATGTATATATTTACATAGAAGTTTATCTTTATTTAATCGAATCACTCATCATGATAGAGAGCACTTCATTTAATATGATCCCCTTTTATAAGTAACATGGAAATATGTCATTAAAATACAGAAAGTCAGCTTTTTAGACATCATTCTTTTTATTGAGTGTATGTAGCCGACTTGTATTCTCAGTTCCACCTCCTTTATACACATGACTTCACACTTCTACTTTGGAAATGTATTCAACCCACAAAACAAATGTACAAACTGAAGTGTGTATATACAGTATTGTCGTCACGCTGTGCTTTGTGTGGTTTTTCCCCTCCGTCCTCCTCCTTTGCAGCTCCCCCGCTGCTTCACCAGCATTCTATAAAAAAAGATCAAAGTAATCATCAGCTTCAATTTACAAGTGCAGTTTTGTGTATGTGAATTCAAGTTGAAGTATTTATATATCTATTGTTGCTTAATATGACATGAACCTAACCCTCATCAATCATGATTCAAACCTCATGACAACATGCTGACTTTGTTCCTCTTGTATCATTTAGGTCATCGTACTCTCGCGGACTGTGTCACCTCTTTTTTTTACCTCCACCCTTCCTGCTAACCCTTCGCCCCCTCTCTCTCTCTGCCCCTCCGCCAACTCATTGATGCTCACCCCAGGATGACTATGAGGCCTACGCTCGCTGCCAGACTCAGAGCAGTAACCGTGGCGATGAGTGCCACCAGCAGGTCCTCGGTGGGCTGAAAACTTGAGTGTTCGTCCCCGGGAGGCAGTGTGGGCAGAGTGGCAGGGGATTGGTGAGGCTCGTCAGGCAGAGGTACGACTGTGGGGACGGAAGATAAGAATAACAGAGAGATTTAACAGTAGAACTATACAGGAAAATATTGAGGATAGAAATCAAGTTTTTACATGAGTTTAGCCTTCACCAACATCCAGACAACCAACAGACACAAAGGTTTTCTCTCAGGGATCCTCATAAGTTTTTATTAAATATTATTCACTATGTTTGGAACTGTATGTATTTGCTACTAGTTGGGACAATAAAACCACTTTTTAGCTCCACCAAGGAGGTTGTGTTTTAATCACTGAGAGGCCTTTATTTATATCAATAGTATCATGTCACGCTCTGTATTTCTAGATCATGTTTTCATTTATTTTCATTGTTATCAATATTTCCTGTTTAATGTTGTTGTCACTGACTTTTCCTCTTGTTTGAGATTCCACTTCCTGTCCTCGTGTGTTTCCCCCTGCTGTGTTTGTCTGTTGCATCCTGATGTTTCACACCTGCGCCTCCTTCCTCTCCACTGTATTTAGTCTTTGCACTGCTTTGCCTCTCTGCCAGTTTTTTTTTTTTCTTTGAGACGAGTGTACCAGCCCTTTTGACCGTGTCTGTGTTTGGCCGTCTGGTTTTGTTTTCCTGCTCCTGCAGCTTTTGAGCTTGTGGTTTTCAGTTGTGATTTATCAAAATCCATACAACGACATGTAGAGAAGAATACACATAATGAAATAGCCAAGATACAAATCACAAACTCAAGGATGCACAAAATGAGTCATAAACCTTATAAGGCTGATCATAGTCATCATGATCATCATCTGATCATGGAGAAGATTACGCACTGGATGGATTATTATGAAACTTGAAAGAATACAGGTTGAGGACAAACCCATGACATGTGGGTGCAGGTCTGGATCAGGATCCAGGATTTTTCTCCAGGAAATCAGTCAGATTCAGGGAAATGATTTCTATGAGTGTGTGTAATTTGATGAAGCTCGATTGAAATTAAGGGTAGTGAGTAAAATTAGTTAACGGTTGTGTTTGGGGCCTCCTGAATATCTTTGATATGATATTGAAAACCAAAGTATAAGACCACTTTTACTTGAATATCCAAACTGGGAGGTTTTTGTACAGACGTCTACATATTTTTGTAATTTTTTAAATAATATAGATTTGAATATTCAGTTTTAATATTTGTTGTTTATTTCCAGTCACTAAGTGTAAAACATTTCTCGAGTGTTTGTTGTGTGCAGTAACTGTTCAAACAACCTGAAGTCACTTGGGGGCAATGCCAGCATTTGATCATTCAGAGCTAGATTAGCAGTTTTCAGTGACTGTGTGCTTCAGAGCAGTAACTCTACCAGTAAGCAGAAAAGTGACTTGATAGAAGATGGTTCCGTTTTGTCCCTGCAGCGAGCAGCGATACGTCCCTTGCTCCTCCACATGCAGCTGATTTAAGACCACGGATGACTCATCTGTCACTACCAGCCCTTTGAAGTCAGTCTGGTTCAGCTGCAAGCACAAATTAGGAAGCGATGCCTACAAGTTAGTGGGTGTGAAATCACTCAGGCGATATTCAAGAGTAAAGCTAAATAAGGGACATAATGTAATACATGAGAATCAGGAAGTGTTTCAAAAGTGTTGGATTTCTTTGAAACGTGGTAGATTATTGCTTATGTTTCTGTTTTGGTTGTCATTTGGGAAAGTGGCAGTATGAGCAGAGAAACCTGTTTAGTTCCTGGTTCTCCTGGAGCCCAGGAGTAGTGATACTCTGGTTTTCCCAGCAGAAGACGATGCCATGGGAGAAAACAGTCCAACACCGCCTGGCCTCCCTCCTCAGCCTGCACTGGGTGCTCTGGAGAGAAGGTCAGCGGGGGAGGGGTGGGGATTTCATTCATTTTCATCTGGATTACTTGAATAATCTTTTTCATTAGCCCTGCACATGGGCAGGAAGGAGCAGTGCCTCGCTTGAGAACACATTTGAACTCGTGACAGCGTCTGCACTCCCACCACATAGGTACAACTCTGCCTCATCCTCTCACGCACCCACCCACCAACAGTATCCACACACAGTCAAACACATAAAAACATACCACCACACTCCTGCTGGCCAGAGGGAGACACACAGACGTATATCTTGTAGCGGCAAGAGAAGCAATCCATTACTCTCCGATTCAGGAGGCCTGACAAACACACATGCACACACACGTGTCCTGTAAACATGCACTGTGTGTATAACGTGTGTGTTTCTACAAGGATTTGCAGTGACACCAGATGGAAGGGCCAGACAGGACAAACTTACCACACATGTTGGGACACAATCCTGAGGGAGAGATAAACAAATGATCTGAATCTGAAACATGTCGTTGTCATTATATAAAGTGCTTTGCCTTCTGTGCACACCACACATTGTTATTCATGTCAATTACCATCACGGATGAAGGTGTCCAAGTGTGTCTCTAAGATCCTCCTGCCCTTCTCCATGATCTGAATGGCTTCAAATGTTACAGACCCTTTAATAAGAACAGCACGAGGTGGACATAATGTTTGTCTTAGTTACTGTGTCATGTATTAATACTTTGAAGATGATACAGTTTAACGATTACATGTGTTTTGCTATTGTTCCCGACTACTGTGTTTCCATTTGGAACTATTCATTTCGATGACTGATGTTTTGTGTTTCTCACCAGAGTGCTGGGTTTTCAGAAAGTCGTCAAATTCACTCTGGTACTCAGTGCTGGCTCTGTACAGAGTAGTGTGATCTGAGGAATGGGAAACAGAGTCATCTTTTACTGGTTTTATCATTTTACACTTTAGGCTTCTCAGATTTTATCCGGGACAAAATGATGGTCAGGGTAGAAAAATAATTCAACTACCAGATCATAAAAAACCTCAGAGGCCTCATAATTATTTCAAAAAATGCAATAAAAAAGAGACATGCTTTGAGATATAGTCACCGCACATGAATTATCACCAGTTCTTTATCTCACCAATGACTCCTTTTCGCTCCCTGCTGGTATCCCTGTAGGTCACATATGCGTGGTCACAAATCTTTGTCATTTCAATCTGGTCGGCCACAGTGGGAGCTGACAGGGCTAAGTCTTCATGCAGGAGTCGAACCCTGCGGTCACACTGCAGACAAGCGTCAGCTGCAAGGACACAGCCGAGGAGCGTCACCAGTATCAGCAGCATCTCCCCTCTGCACCCTGAGCGTCCTGCACCTGAGGATGAGTCACTTTGGCTCCTGGGATTTTTTACTCAGTGCAGATTCTACAACAGACATTGCAGTTCCAACAAAAGAATCATTAAAAAGGACACTAGTACTGTTACTGCAACCGTTATTACAACTTTCTATTCAAAGTGATCTCAAGTGCAAAATATCTTTATTTACATTATTGTTTGATTTTGTGTTAAAGTCGTAACTTTTTTTTTTAATCTTGCATTGATCAGAAGTAACACTCACATTTCATTTGTATTATCTCGTGACAATAAAGGCTTTCATTCAACTCCCAGCTGATACTTTCACTGTTACATACACAAGGACTAATGTTACTCATATCACTTCTGTTTGTTACTTTAACAGTAAGTTGTAATTTGTATTATCAAATAACCTGCCCATGAAAACGAAAATGCATTGATAATTCAGCCACATGTCACTTCTCTTATCTGCCACTGTGTGTACACATACTTAGATTTACAGAACGTAACTGCTTTAACCTGAATGCTAGTAGTGTACTACTGGCATAATGCTGCTAATACTTGCTGAAGCTACTGCTACTGTTGCTATAGTTACAATACAGGTTATTCCAGCCATCAGTTCTTCCAGCCGTTCCAGTAATTAAGACAACTAACTAAACTACTTGACCTATTTCCATCGCTGACTGACATTTAATGGAACAACAACATCAAGAATATCTGCACTTGTGTTGTGATAAAGAACTGAATACTTGCTTTGTCAAGCTCTTCCCTTTGTTAGTTAAAGCTCAATGCTGTCACCCAGTGGTAGAAATCACAGCACTGTCACAATAACACTAATAACACTGATAATACACGTTATTCACCTCAGTCCTGTGGTTTGTTCAGGATCAGTTGGTGAGTGTTGCTCTTTGTCAGTTGGTTTTGGCAGCACAGCCTCGTCTGCCCAGAATCTGCTCTTAGTGCATCCAACCCAGACAAAGAGCTGCCTGCACACCCTGATATCACCAGATAAATCAAATTAAAACTGTGCACGCTCCATACACTTATATAGAATGTCACACTGCACCTGTGTGGATGTCTATAGCTTTAGTATTCTATTGCATTTAATTTTTCTTTTATAGTAAACTCTTTCTAGCTTGCTTTTATTTTAATACAATGATTGCACCGCTGAGCTGGGACCTGTTTGTCCTCGTCCAACACTGGCATTGTACTGTTGACCCTGTGCTCACTTGAAACGTAGCAAGGTCACAAGGAGAATAACCTACTGCTTGTTGTTGATTCGACTGGTTTCCATGGGATACGGTACCATATAAGATTAATGATTTTAAAATAACATTAAAACCATTAACACTAGTTTTTATTTGACATCATTTCAATTTCAAGTTATTTCAAAGCAAAAATAACTTTTATATTTTGTCGTAATCTCTTTTTTGGACTGAAATTCTTTCACGTGAACACTACATTTCCCAGAAGCCACTCGTCCACGTTGCATGACCGACATGTAATTTGGACCAATCCGCTTCGAGGTGGTTTGTTGTTGGGCGGGACTCTGTTGCTGTAAAGTATCCCGCGCGTGCGCAGTGGACTCCTGCGCTTCCATCTGTAACTCACGCCGGCCTCAGGGAGCGAGATGTGCAGGTGAGAAAACTCTGTGTTCACGAGACACGGACACTTCCATTGTCCCTGTCCGCGTTTCTACAACTTGTCCTCGGGTCGCAGGTGGAGAAAATGTCGCTTTTAACCGCGGACGTCACCGCGTTCACAGCTAATTTCGACACAACCGGTTCCAGCGCCTGAAACGTCCCGACACAGCGTCAACAACAGAGCGCTGCCTGGTATCGATCCTTTATCGGACATGTTTGGTTGCTCGGTCTCACTGACTCCTCTGTGCAAAGTTATATAAGAACGTGCACGCGGAGACACAGCTGGTGTGCACTGGGATCGGTACTGCAAAGTCAGGTGGTTCGAGTTTTTCTTGTTTGAGGTGGAGACATGCATCTAATGTGAAAACACAACAACAGGCAGGGAACTGGTCTGTGCGCGTGAGCTCGCTTTCTTTAAGAAAACCCATGTACTACTCGTGTTTAAGTGTTTCTCTGTGTTTGTATACTGCTCTGAGTCTGGAGGTTAAGTTACATGGACTTAAAATATCAGACTACTTCTTTATTTTGAACAATGTTTGTATTGTAATGTTCTAATACAGGGTACATATAGTTTATAGCTGTTAAAACATAAGACTGGAGAATAAAACAACAATTATCCTAATATCATTTAAATCAATAGTATTGTGAGGAGGTAGAACACATAGTATATGATCTACCTTAAAGTGAAGGTTTGCTGATTGTTATTCTCTGCTCATAAATCAGAGTCAGAATCTGGTTTTATTGCCAAGCAGGTTTACACATACAAGCAATTATCTGTGGTGTGTTTGTGCAAGTATAAATATAAAGAATTAAATAAATAGGAATATAACAAATACTTAAGAAGAGTTTCAAACCATAACCTTCACTCATTTCATCAAAAATCAGTCTTGAAAAACAATAATTTGACATTTATTAGGATAATTGTCAACATTGACTGATATGAAAATGATTATCTGGAAATAGTTTTTGGCCTCATTGTCCAACTCTAACACAATACACCAAGTTAGAATTGATCCAGAATACAAAGGAAGCTCTGGACCAGAAGTGTAGGAGAGCAGGGTTAAGTTCAGCATGTGGTACTAAATCCATGACTGTAAAAACTGACTGATCATATAAACAATATGGTGCAGCTTTGAACATAACCACGTAGAGAGGTTAAAGATCTTGTGTTAACAGAGTCTGAGGTAAAGAAGAAGGATCTCGGCAGAGGTTTGAGTACAGTAACAGCTTTTATTTGCAGGGTCTGTATTGGCAAGTTTTCCTTCCCTTTCTGCTGCGTAGTCACAAACCTTCATCAGAATAAAATAAGCATGTGGGGCTGGAACATAATGACACCTGTGGGGATGGAACAGCCTGAAAACTGTAGGCTTGCTGCAGCACGGTTATTTGAGGGCTGCGACTGATAAATATCATTTAGTCATGTCCAAGTTGCTCTTAGCTGAGAGATAAATGTAATATAATCATGCTGACATGGTGTCTGGACTTTCTCTCATCATAGCCTGTTTTTATGGTTTCATTGGTTCTGTTATCATCAGCGGGTGTGTGGCTACTGAGCCTGGCTAACTGCTATTTACCAGATTAAAGCGGCTCTGCTGTGCTGTCTCTCTGCTGGACACTGCTGCTGCTGCATTATGCTGCAGGAGAAGTCCTACTGAATGCTTTCAATACAGTAACATGTAGCTGCACTAGTATACTCATAGTGTAGTGATGGCACACACACAGCAGCACTGACGACACATATTGTAAGTCAATCTTAATATGTGCCTGATTTTTGCTTTTTTTTAAATGGTGCAGTTTGGCAGAATTATTGTAGATAGACAAATTTTTTCTTATAAGGGAAACATGCCAAAAAGAGGGTGAGTAATAAATGTGTATAATCGTGATGTCAAGCAGCGTTCAGAGCTCCAAAGCTATTTATAACTACACTTCCTGGAGACTGTCAGCGGTGATAATGAGAACTGGGTTGTCAAGCTCAACATTTTGGTTAATTTTTTATGATATTGACATAGGCTGCATACTGGGGACGTCTCTGGTGGCCTGTTTCTCATTCTTTTACACGTTGTGCTGCCTCTCAGACTGAAAGTTGACCTGTCTGTCTTGCAGCTCTGGACAAATCAGCCCCCTTTCAGAAACAGTGACTTTGCTAAAGATCGGCAGGTAGATGTCAGACATCTTATTTTCACCTGCCAATGTGAAGATATATTCCAGACATTTCCACCAGCGCTGACGTCCATCTCTTCGCTTCCGCCACTTCACATCTAAATCTGCGACGATGCACAGCTCTATGCCTTCCGTCTTCAGTATGTATGAGATTGTCCCGGTGGGGTCCGGGGAGATTGTCGGGGGATCGAGAAGCTCTCCAGGAAGGAAGAGGAAGCTGGCTTATGAAGGCCGGCCCCTGATGATGGCGGGGATGTTGGGCTGTGCTTTGGTGCTGGCGGCTGTGGTTGCTTGGTGCTACTACTCTGCGTCTCTCCAGAAAGCCCAGCTGTTGAAGACAGAGTTATTAGACCTCAACAAGGACGGTTTCATCATTCGTAACAAGGCAGGTACTGTCGTCTTCACCATGACCTTCAGGTGGGTTCACTGTTCAATTTTTTCAGTATTGATTAATCTGCTGTTTAATGTCTTTAATTTTTTATTGTCGATTAAATCTCTGAAAGATTGTGATAAATACCCAATGTGACACATTTTACAGCTAATTTTGTTCAACCATTTGTCCAAAACTCAAACAAACTCAATCTACAATGAAATAAAACCGAACATATTCACCTTTGAGAAACTGGCACCAATGAGTCTTGGGCACTTCCTATTGGAAGCGACTCAAATCGATTAATTATCAAAATCATTACAATAGACAAATCATTTCAACTCTATTAGTAAGTAAGCAAAGTTGAATGTAAGTATGAGTAAAATGTTTCAGAGCAAAAAAAACAATGACCAGAAAAACAGGAACTTCAGTACAGTGTTGTTCAATCTAATTTGTTCCCTCCCCTGGTGTAACCAACCACCAGTACATCTTGACTAACAATACCCCCTGTAACCTTTTTCTGCCTCATCACAGTTATTCCTCTTTGTGTGCTGAGCCGTGCTAAAAGGCAGCTGGTCTGTAATGTGTGGATGGATAATGGAAAGCCAGACGAGACAGACACATGATTACACCCCTAGGGAAGACTGATTTAGTCACATCCTCCATCAGCAGAGAGCTCTCATTGACCGAAATAGTGATTGCACAGTCCCTGGATTTGCACAGGAATATAGTAATTGAATTGAGCATAAGATATTTTGTGTTATGATTGCTTTTCTCTTGTAGTATTTGAATACGAGCTTGACTTCACTCCTTCACCAGGCTTAACCAGGTCCTTTTGTATTTTCCTCCCCCCCATCCACACACCTCGGTAGGTCTGGCACCCTGGACCTGAACTCCTGCTCAAAGGACGAAAGTATTCTGAGCTGCACTCATTCAAGTTCTGGCAAACTCAACTTCTTTATCCAGACAGTGCAGCCAAAGGACACGGTGATGTGTTACCGCGTGCGCTGGGAGGAGCTGCAATATACGCGTTTGGTGGAGCACGCCATGGCCTATAATGATTCCCATTGGTACGGCGGGGCAGAGACGGCAACGCAGTACTGGCCTATCCGGATCAAGGGAGAGGAGGATCCACTGCCTTTCATCACCAGTGATGTCTACTCCAATCGGAACGCCTTTGGGGGAATCCTAGAACGCTATTGGCTTTCATCGAATGCAACTGCAATCAAGATTAACGACTCAGTGCCGTTTCATTTGGGCTGGTCAGAGAACGACAGCACGCTCAGGTTCGAGGCCCGGTACCAGGACTCTCCCTTCAAACCACCAGAGGGACAGCAAGCCTTTCCTGAACTCAGCTATAGAGTGTGTGTGGGGTCAGATGTTACATCTATTCACAAATACATGGTGAGTAAAGACTTACTGTTTATTTTGTTTTAACGGCAAGAGTAAAACGTTTTTTGTTGTTATTTTATTACTTTACTATTATTATTCTGGAGCAGGTGGGAATTGGTACATTTACACATCAAGATGCATGTATGGCATGTGTTACTTCCCTTTTAGACAAATTGTGGTGCATTTACATATTAGAGCCACATTTGGAATCCTTTGGGATACAGGTCTGATGTGTTGGACTATATTTTAGCTGGAAATGCAGGATAGGTATTTCCCCCATTTACACTCATGATGCTGAAGGAAGAGTCAAGTTTTCCTTTAATCCAAATTAACTGAATACAAACGAGGAATAAACTTTGCGGCTTTCTTGGATGATGATAAACCAAATTGTGCTGAAATTGATGCTTCTGTAGTAATTGCTCTGTATGCCTGTGTTTTGCACAGGTGCGTCGGTATTTCCCAAAGCCTATCAAGGTCCCATCCCCCGAAGTGTTCAAACATCCAGTGTGGTCCACATGGGCTCTCCACAAAACATCTGTAACTCAGGAGAAGCTGCTGAGCTTCGCCTCTGACATCACCAGACATGGCTTCACATGCTCCCATCTGGAACTGGACGACCGCTACACTGCAGACTATGGAGAGTTTGACTTTGACCCGCAGAAGTTCCCCAATGCCACTGGAATGTTTGAGAAACTGAGAGAGGACAAGTTTCAGGTGTCGCTCTGGACACATCCTTTCATCAACTATGACTCCATCAACTTTGGTGTTGCTGTGGAAAAGGGGCTGTTTGTTCGGGAGCCGAGCGGCGAGCTGCCTGCTCTGGTACGCTGGTGGAACGGCATTGGTGGAATTTTGGACTTTACGAACCCAGAAACTCGGGACTGGTACTCGTCTCATCTACGCATGCTCAAAACCCAATACAACGTGACCTCCTTCAAGTTCGATGCAGGAGAGACAAGCTACCTCCCCCACCAGTTTAGTACCCTGGTCCCACTTTCTGATCCCTCCACCTTCACCCGTCGCTACACAGAGATGGCAATACCCTTCAGTGAGCGTGCTGAGCTGAGGGTGGGTTACCAGAGTCAGAACATCTCCTGCTTCTCAAGGATCATTGACAGAGACTCAGTGTGGGGCTACGAGCTCGGCCTCAAGTCCATCATCCCAACAGTTCTCACAATTAGCATTCTAGGCTACCAGTTTGTCTTACCTGATATGATCGGAGGGAATGCATACCCCAACCGCACCACAGGTATGGTACTCCATGACATATGGCTGTGAGAGATAGAAATAGAAGTTGTCTGTGTTATTGTATTTGTGGTTTTGGTCTACTGTCTGACACCTGTTTGCAATTTTAGGAGGTTTAAATGGCAAAGACGGTCTGCCAGACAGAGAGCTGTACATCCGATGGTTGGAGCTGTCAGCTTTTATGCCTGCCATGCAGTTCTCTATACCACCTTGGGCCTATGACAATAAGGTGAGTTAATGTATTTCCACTCATGGGTGAGGCTACAAACACAGAATCACTCCAGGTCAAGCTCAGAAGAAATACAGTTCCAAGAGCTCTACGCAAATAATATGATGAGAGAGGCGATCTGAAGCTTATTTTGATTCCTCATCGTATGACTTCATGTGATTGGAGAAAGAAAGACAATTACATCATTGCAATTTCTGAGGTATCTCTGCATCCTATAGGAGGTGATGATGTCATTATGAAATGGTATTATCACAACATAAAAAGTAAATATATTCATTGTATACATTGCCCCTCTGATACTTTTCAGATACAGATAGGGTGCAATTTACTTTAACAGTTTCAGTTTCAAAAAGGAAAAGAACTTTGTGTTTTAATCAGCCATCATGCTGCACTGTCTGTTAGGTGACATGGATCCATTGTGATACAGACTTTGTATCTTTGTGTGTTCATCGTCAGGTTGTTCAGATAGCGCAGAAGTTCACGGAGCTCCACGAGACACTGGTGGCACCAAGGGTATTGGAACTGGCAGGTGAGGTTCTTGACACAGGAGACCCGATCATAAGACCCCTCTGGTGGATCGCCAATGATGACGAAGCAGCCTATAAGATCGACTCCCAGTTTCTCATCGGGGATGACCTGATGGTGGCTCCGGTGTTAGAGCCAGGAAAGCAGGAGAGGGACATCTATCTGCCAGCAGGACGGTGGAAAAGCTACAAGGGGGAACATTTTGATAAAGGCCCCATTTACCTCACTGACTACCCTGTGGACCTGGACGAGGTAGCTTTCTTTACATGGGTTCACTGAAGACGCTAAATCATGAAAGACACAAACTCATAAACGCACATGCATTTTGTATGCTCATATTCGTTCTTTTGTGAGCACATATGCCGGGAAATAGAGATGATGGTTTTCAAAGGGAATCTGTTGCCACGCTAGAGGGTAGTTTTTGTTTAAGATTAACCTCACGTCTTCTCTGACCTGGAGTCTTATTTGAAACCGTTGCGTACGCATCTTTCGACCCTACTTTGTGCGCACGCCACTTCTCACGCAAACGTCAGGTGTGCGTGCGCACAGTTTTATAAATCAGAATATTTTTTTGCATACGCCATTTTCGGCTCGTAGGTGATTAGTATCTCTCCTACCTACTGTTTTATAAATGAGGCCCCTGCTATTTATCTGGACTGACTGTGGGTTAGAGAAAGAGAAACGTCTTTTCACTTCTCATTCTCTCGTTCCATCCTTAAGCTGATCCTCCTCATCGTGTGCCTTGCACAACCAATAATAAACCGATCTTAGATTGTACCATCAACCAGTCACCAGTCTTCCACCTAAAGGACATCTAGATAACAATTTGTCCTTCACAGCCTGAGTCACTTGGCTAAATATGTTTTTGTTTTAGGGTAAACGGGTTTATCTTATTCTGCGTGAATTTTATCAGGCCAGATGAAAAACTGATATAAAATATCTTCACTGAATTGGCAATAAAAATGCACACTGAGTTGGACAGATGCCCCCGTGCTCAGAGGACATTCTTAACCCTATGTCACTGCTGTATTTTGATTTTACGTTCACGACCTGTAAAGCTAACATGCATTACTTTACAACATTAATTCAAATTATTAATGCTACTTATAAATTTGCATTTAACACTCATGGTTTATGAGGATATTGCTTTTTATATTTATTTTACATTTTGCCTTCTTTTGATTGTTGGATGTTAATTATTTTATATACAGTTAATTCATGTATTTATGTATTTAAATTGGGGTGGGGTTGTAACAGATGAATATTTTTATGTCATCAGTCCCTGACCTGTTGTGCCAATCTGTCGTTTCAGTGTCAAATCTAAAAAAAACTACTGTTTCATGCTTTTCATCTACATTCACAGCTCAGGGTAGATTTTAAAAAGATTTGTTTTATTAGAATTAACTTTGTTGATCCACAGCAAGAAAAAAATTATTATACTGCTACTGGTTTGCCTTGTAAAACAAGAATGGTTCTCAAAGATGCAATATTTTCTTGTGCCGTCCACGTCTGCCTTGCGACTTTGATTTGCCTTATCAGCTGAATTTGGGTATGCCGGCCTTCGCACACAGAACTAGTGAGGAAATAAAACACACTTCAGCACACAGTGATATGCTTGATGCACTGCACCTTTATGTTTTTAAGTAGTGACACTTGGAATGAGATATCTGCCATATGAATATAATGTATGTCCTAAGCTTACCTTACACTGATTATTAGAGTAAAGCACACTACTGGTTAAGTCATCTAAATGCTGTTCTTGAAAATGATTATACTATATAAGATGGAGTCAGCACTGCTGTTAAATGTTAAATTTACTAAATATATCATTGTGATGGGATTAGAGCACGTTTCATGTTATTTTGATGGTTTTTGTTTGATGACAGTCCGGCTGCTGTGTAGGTTTCTTCTATCCTTGTTCCAACCACAGGGTGGAGCCAAAGTCCAAAATAGTCAAAGCTCACACAGCAACTTTGACAGCAACAACAATAAATGCATAACTTTGAATAATATCAGTCATATGTGTTTGTGGCAGGAATTTATGGAGACTAGTTGAACTACTGTAAGATGATACCACCATATTTCACATGTGACAAGTGTGAAAGGTTGGTTATGCAGTGATGCGCATCATTTAAAGGGATTAGAAAGGTTAAATAAACGTAAAGTTGGAGATGTGAAATCCATCCAGAAATTACAACTGTCACCGAAGTGAATGGGTAATGTTTTTTTTGCAGCCATAAAGGATTACTTGCTCCGTTATGAAGTTCGACGCCAAAGAAAACAAAAAGAAACCCCATGGTTGTTGAATATTCTTTACACAGTGTGTTTAACGAGCTGTGAAAAGCTTTGTTAATTGTAAGTGTGTTCTAAAGGGGTCAGAGAAATGTGTTGGCCTAAGGGTAACTATGAAAACATCACAAAACTGAAGTCAGATGTTTTCAACAGCAATACACTCCATTTCACCACCGACCATTCAATGAATGCATCTGTCAAAGCAACTGTGTGATTCTGCCTCGTAAACCACTGTACTTGTTCCCTCTCCAGATTGTATTATTCACTTTATTCATATGTGGACTGTTTGATTCTCAGTGTGCTGTATCCCTACAGTAAAAACAAAACAAAGAATTCAACTAATTCATCCAGGTTCATCTCTGATACAGAGTGAACCAAATCTTGAATTTTGTGTTTTGACAGTAACCGAAGGTATTAAACCAAGATGATGAAAATCTGTTGAAATAACCATAAACTCAATTTATTGTGTCATGTCCTGTTCTGTCACTTGTCTTTCATAACAAAGCTATTTTTGCTGTAAATCCTGATGTGATGCAGAACTCAAGGATTAAAACGACTCATTGGATGATCACGATGTGGTTCATTGAACACATTTTTACTACGTAAAATTTCTTGTTGATTTGAATGAA